GGAGCATATTGGAATACAACGCGAACAAACCTTTTATTAGAAAATAAAACTGCAATCTCCAATTTATAACAAACATTCTAGACGAAAAATTGATCAACTCAGAGAAAAAAAATAGATGTTTATATTTGTAAGTCTTTACTTTGAACTGTCTTTTATCTGTTCTTTTTTACGAGACACAGTTTACACAGTGTATTTTGTAACTACGTAATTTATGTTATTCACGTTGGATTCTTTTGTACTTTAAAATAAATCTTGGTAGATTTACATTTCGGTAAGTCGTAAAATACTGAAATTTTTGTCCTTCAATACATGAAAAGAATTTTTAAAGCAAGAGGTACGGAATTGTGAATTCTTTTATTTCTAAATTTGACATTAGCAAGTTTTTATTGAACGAAATTCCTTTGAATATTTCTTTTTTGAAATTGCTGTCGACGGTTTTTGAATTATTCTAAATGATTTAATAGGAGATTACATATACTGAACTAAGAAAATAATATATATTAAGTAGGTAACAGTATTAGGTAATTTCTTGTTTAATAAAATAAATTAGTAAGGTTTAAATTTATTGATTGCATTGAACTTTATCGTAATAGATTTCTTAGAAAGGAATTGTACAGCCATGTTTAGCGCTAAATATTCGACGTGAATGTGAGCTATTACGTTAAAAAAAAAAATTTAAAGCATAAATCCGTCATGTGTTTGATGATAATTTTAGCGGCACGTGCTGCATAATATGTACAAGCGGTTTTTTCGTGTACCACTTCTACTCAAATAATCATTCACCGCGAATTGTAATTGCCTTCTATTTGCCTATAATACGTAAGCACCGCTATGTTTTCCTACCTTCTCTCGCGAGGTTGTGGAAATGTGTTTAATAAACCGATAAATAATTGTTGCGCAAGCAATTTCGAAAGTTTTACTCTGTATTTCTATCGTGCTCGGAGATCGCTAGAATTACGAGCAAAGAAAATCTGTCGCGCGACACAAAAACACGTCTGATATCCATTTCTACCAATATACATTTACTATAGTTTTGGTTTATCTTATTTATCTTTTTCTAATTCTTAAAACTAGAAAAAGTAATAGAAATAGACTGCGCATTCCCTGTCTTACAATTAGCTGCTATGCTCTATTAGAAAGAATTGAACATATCAAGATGTCTCTTTAATTCTCTTTAACTCGATATTTTAGACATAGAAAGTGCTTCAAGCTATCTCGCTCTTTCTAAGCTATTGTTCAAGCGACAATTCCAAGGAATGCACAGTCTAGACTTATTACGTCTATGATAAAATTCAGTTTAAAATTAATCTAACGTTGATAGAAATGGATATTAGAAGTATAGTGACACTTGAAACGAACTATTTTTTCTTGGAAATGAATTAAATTCGGAACAGGCAATTTCTACAAATATGTGAACAAAAAAAAATTGTGATATAAGCAAAAATTGTGACTTTCGATATATATGTATAGTAAAGTATATTTATATGAAATAAATATCAATATTTTTTAATTTCAATCCAATTCTTTTTTTAAATAAATTTTTAAAATTTATTAATTATTCGTGCTTTTTCGAAGTTAATATTTTCTTAATTTATATTTACTTGCATCTTTATAATCTAATTCTAAAATATCTGCGCTGTTTTACTGCGTTATTTTTTTATGTAACGCTATCTAGTTTCTAAAGACGTCTTTAACAAGTTACGCTTTTTCAGAAGCAAAGATACGCTCGGGAACACAATTTTGCAATGGCAAAAAGTCAAAATAAATTTATCTAATTTCCGTTATTTTTTACTTTTCCAAGATCAGATCCATCCGATAAGATCAGGAATTTTCATAAGTCATTGAATTAATGACGATAAGCGAATTTTCACACGTAACACTCAAACAGAAATGGATCCGTAATAAAGATTGTTCTCATTTGACGTTATCATTGACATGATCTTAAATATCCTGCTATTTATTGTACAATATATTAAATTTCAAATTCAAATATACAGACAATTATGTAATTATCTGAAGAAAAGTCTAAAGATATAGAACAGATTTAAAACTAAAGATCTACTCAGTGTGTTTATGACATATGTTTTCTTTTATGTGGAAAATAACTAAATAATACGCTTGCACATACAACAATATATGTCTCGGGAATTATTAAAGGGAAGGAAGGAGGATCGGTATTGCAATTTTTAATCTGGTTGATCTCGCATTGGGGATTTCCTTTCGTTTGGCATTATATAGAAGCAAATATTTCTCACAATTATAAATAAATCTGGCATATTTTGCAAATTGAGCAATAAAGAAAAGGAAACTACGGATTATAAGTTTTATAACAAGAGGGAAGAGATAAGAAGCAAAATAATATCACGTATCAATTAACTCTATTATATTGCACATTATAAATTATTCCAAGGCCTCGAATCTACGTCTTTTGCGCGATATCTCCGGTATTCCTTGACGGCACGCACGAGAGTTAATTAAAAATAAGAATTAAAACGTTCACGCGGTGAAGTATTGAGTTGTTCACATGATATGTCAATGTTACGGCAACGGTTCTTTGAAAATTATAAGAATCCAATTAACAATTTTAACATATGGATTTATCTTGTTCGAATCAATGGTGATTCATGAAATTCTAATAGAAACAAGTTGTTAATTCGATTCATAAGATATCGATTAAATATAAAAATTTTTTTAATGTGAGAAAATGAACAAAATTATTTAACTATAAAATTATTGAAAGACAAAAATTTGAAAAAAATATTACGATTTTATAACATATTTGATATGTATAATCGGTCAATATTTATTTTATAATATTAATATAGTATAAAAGCATCTCATTAATTTTCGCAATCTGAAATAT